ATATATATATAATTGCACTAATCTCATAAAAACCAAGAGCTTGCTTACTCCAGCACATAGTAAACTAAATTGACCAAAACTCTTTCTCTCCCCGACCTCCCATGGATCTTAATTTTCCAAAATTAAGAAGATCAACCCTGAAAACACCCACTCATAAGAAACTAAAAGAGTACATAAAATCATCTTATCAGAAGAGAAAATACCCCCACGTCATTCAAACATCTCACTGAACAAAAAGATAGTAAGAAAGACTTTCTGAAACTGAGCTCACTAAAAACTAAAAGCTACATCCATGAAGAGCTGCTAAAATCTCCCATACCTCCATCAAAGCATGTTGGAGCTCCACAAGCTCCAAACTCCCATAATGCCTCATCCATCCAAACCCCACTTCCCATTTCATCAACTACATTCTCTTCTCCATTCGTTGTACACCCCTTCACCGTACTAACATCACTGACTTGCCTTGAAGCAGCTGAATTATTACTTGAGTTCCAATAACTCTCCGGTATTATACTACTTAACTCTCCGGATCTTGTATCTCCACTCAAACCAAACAACTCACCTGGATGGAATGGAGTGAAGTCATTTATTTGGCCTTCTAACTGCGGGAATGGAGTGGGTGGTGGTGCTGCAGCTAGGGTTAGGGTTTGGGAGTGGAACGCTGGGTTGAGGAAAGGGTGGAAGGAAGAGTTTTGATCAGCGTAAACAAAGTTTGTTTTAGCTTGGGTTCCTTTCATGGAGAGTGCTGCTCTATCATAAGCTAAGGCTGCTTCATGGGCTGTGTCAAATGTGCCAAGCCAATGTCTTTCTTTGGTTGTAGGGTCTCTTATCTCTGCTGCATATCTTCCCCATGGTCTTCTTCTAACTCCTAGAAACCTTCCTGGTTCTGCTGGTTTTCTTCTGCCTCTTTTCTCTGTTGGAGAGGAAGCTGTTGTTGTTGAGGATTGGGATGGTGGAGAATTGGAGAAGTTCATCATGTGAGGATTCTGTTCTTCTTGGGGTATGATTGCTTGGTTTCTTTGGGAGGACATTGGTGAAGGTTGGAGATGGATTATTGAGTTAATTAGGTGTGGTTAGAGAGGAATGTGATGGTTAGGGAGAAGAGAGGAATGGAGAGTTTAAATAGAAGGATCTTCATGTGAGTTTAGTTTAAAAATCACTTTTGACTAATAGTTTTTTGGGCAGTGTTTTATGTTAATGCTGACAAGATATAATGAAGAATATAAAGCAACAAAAAATAATACATTTTTTTTATATATTAATTACTCTAGTGGCAATTACATACATAGTGATTGAAAGATTGCTATTTTGAAATTTAGAATTCTCTTTCATTCATTTAGGAGATTCTCACTAAAGTATTGAAAAATAACGCAAAATTGTAATTCATAGTGTTCATTTTTCACAAAATTTTAATGATTTGATTGTGTCATGCATGAATGCACCGACTCAGATAGTTTTAAAAAAACCACATTCTTGTTGGTTTTGTAAATAGAAATGATTCAAGGTGCTCTATGTGCAAATTAATTAC